CTTCATGGCAGAGGTTGGCTGAAGTAACTTCAGTTCTCTGTTCCAGCCTACCCAAATTGTTGCTCAGACTAGCCAGAAACAAAGGTACAGTTCTGTAGTGCAGAGGAAGTTTTTTCTTCTAAACAAACTAACCATCCAGAGAAAGGCACAGATTTTTGGCTTCAGAGATTACTGGAGGATACTGTTCTTAATTTGAAAGCACAAAATAGGTTAGTAATGACCTAGATGCCCTCCAACATGACTTGCCACAGTGAAGCTTTGCATAACAAACATTCTGGCACTGCCACATTAATTTCACAGACTCAGAGGGGAGTCGCACAAATCAGCACTTGTTTGGGAAACACTGTTTGTAAAGTCTGTTTGATGCAAAGGAAATTAACTGGCCAATACTACTTTTGTTTGCACAGAAACATTTTGTCTAAGGATTGAACTGTAAAGCTATTATGTTTAATGGAGACAACAGGGAGAATAGCTCTTTGGTGCTTCAAAGAACCTATTATGAAAGATGTAGGACTTGCATATTTGCTGAGATGTCTGCATGTGAAGGGGGGAAGGGGGACGGGGGACAGATGGATGTGGGATGGGACTAAAATAATCCTGCAGATATATAGTGACCTTAAGGCAAACAGCTTATAATGGAGCATGGTAAGTGAATTACTTAGCAAATATGAGTATTTCGATGTGCACCGATTATTACATCTGTGCACAGTATTATGTAGTGGAGCTAGTATGCATTAGGTGTTTTCCGCCGTTAAAAAATTGCATTCCCATATAGCACTGGAGTAAAGCTTGGCTGTGCTCTATGATGAATGCTCAGTTCCCAGTGCACAAACAAAATTATGGCAAATGGGAGGCTTTTCTGGCATCCAAAGAAACAAGAGCTGCAGTCTCAGATTTGATCTTTTTCTTTAAAAAAAGCAAAAAAAACAAGTTAGTGGTTCCTTCACAGCCATGCGCAAAGGTAAGTCTAGAACCGATAGTTTCAGAGTACATTTGTAAACATCAAGTCTTGCCAGAGGCAGCAGAGGATGGGCACTTCACATTTCCGTATTAAAACAGGGACTGAGTGGAAGGTATGCTTTGAAACATACTGATGCAAGTCTTGCTAAATTCCAAGAAAGTGGAACAATCCATCTCAAGTCTTAGATTTGAAGACCGTATTCCAAATTTCACAAAAAAAACAAAGCCATGTGGCACAATGAAGCGTTCGTACTCTTCCTCCAAGGCTCAGTCACTGCTGTGCTTTGCATATTCAAGGTTCCGAACAAAAACCAACTGAGGCGTATGCATATTGCTCTATGTTCAGCTCTTGCAGTTTAAAAAATTTCTGGTTCAAATGGTCTGTGTCAAAGGAAAACTTGGAAATAAATAATGCTGGCATCATTTTACCGTGTCACCAAAACCTTGGGCTGGCAAGTATCTCCTTTAATCCAACCGTGCAGATACCAAGAGAAGAGGCAGTTTTGTCATGAAGATTGAGGTCAGGACAATCGAGGTTCCTGAGGTAATATGTCTGAGTCCATTTCCTCAAAAGCGGGGTCAACATCGTCACCACTGCCGGACTGTTCCCTCTGCACTCCCTTCCAGCTAGCCTTGTTCAGTCCCAGGTGGCCAAGCATCGTCTGCGACAGCCTGGTATTTGAGAACCGGGCCCATTCCCCAAACAGTGGCTCCACTAAGTAGGTCATAAAACCTTCAGAAACAACAAACATATTCAAGTCAAAACAACAGGGAAAAACAGACACCCTCTAATATTTTAAATAAAATTTAGTAACAAAAAACAAACAGTGCATCCGACTACTCTTCTCCAATGTGCATTTAAAAATTCCTTTCAATATTTAGGGCACCTTTACAAAATAATGTCTCAAAATGTAAAAAAATTTTACTCATCAGTCAAAAGAAAAACATGATATTGCATTAAAAATTAACCTTTCTTTCACAATAATGACCAAATAAAAGAAAATATGGGAGGAAATGGGACAGGGGTGGGGGCAGGGCTGCAATCTAAACATCAGCAACTAACACAAATTAATTTAGGAAACCTACATTTCTAAAAAAAAAAATTTATAACAAATTACCCCACAGACAGTCTGAACTGTATTAAATGGGGGGGAAAAAAAAAGAAGATACTCTTGTCACAATATTAAGCTGACTAAAAATACTTAAAAATAGAAATTACAGGAATCTTTAAACAATAAGGCCACAAAACATCACATACATTTATATACATTTGCATGTCTGTGCACATGCACTTATTTATAGTGTCTATTTCTATGAACCAAAAATTCAGTGGTAAGACGACCAAAATGGAATCTGTCAATTACAGAAATGTACAATTTTCTAACATTCTAAATTAAAAGAGTACAGCTGATTCAACAGATCAGCTTTTGCTTCTAATTTAAAGCACTAATTCATACTGTGCATGTGGTTAAATTTATTCTTTTCTTTACTATATGTTTAACAGTCCCATTCGATCTACACAAGCATCTTTATGGAAAGTAACTATAAAAAGTCATTTTACTATTTTAAATCCAACTCAAGTTAGGAAAAAGAATTAATATAATAGCTGTTTACCACTGTCCATCAAATCTCTGCTCACCACCCTTCTTAAGGCTGCACTTGAAAGGAATGCTAACATTCCAAGAAGCCAAACCCAGCAAGCTGGAACCCTGCTGTGGCAACCTCGATGTGAAAGGCAACCCAAGACTGCACAGACAAGGGGAATCAACACTCCTCTTCCCAAACTGACTATTTCTGATGAAGGAAGTTCTGGGCAGCAGCAGTCAGACAGCTGCTTACCATGCAGTACTTGCTCTGTGAGGAAACAGGGAGCTTTGGTCTCCAAGACCGTCAGTGCAGCACTTTTTGTAAACCCTCAGTTCAAGGGCAAAATGGTATATAGCAGGTTGAAAAAAAATTGCTCTTTGTAACCGGTACTGCCACACACACACAGAGCAGGTACAACCTCTAGAAAATGTATCAAAAAGGTACTTTTTCAAATTGTATCCTGAAAGAAATCTACTAAAATAAACTGAACTGCAGTTACCAATTTGGATGTTGGCAATAGTTTCCGTCTGTCGGTCACAAAGTGGGCTCACACCCAAGTGATATTTTTTTTCAATATCTCCTAAAGAAACAAAAGTATAATACAACCATTAAGTCATCAAGTCCAGACCCAAATGGAGTCATCAAACACTCAGAGGTCAGTTGTGCACGTTGCATAACAAGGATGGTGATCTTAGAGCTGGCTGAATGCATTTACTTCCCTCCCCCATCTCCCAAAAAAAAACAAGTAGGTCTGTCTGTGGAACTAACAGTACTTTGTATTTTTCATCAAACAATAATCAAAGAAAAAGAATCAAATCACAGATTTCCTGAAGGATTAACATACTTCCTTGCAAAACCTCCTAGACTGCCATAGAAATGACAAATTAAGATCCCCTCTTTGTAATATGGAAAAGAATCGCTTAATCTTCAGAAATTTCTCACTAAAGGCATGCATTTGTGGTTCTGCTTCCCATCACCTTTATCTAATAAGCTTCACATGATTAACACCAAATAAAGCAGTCTGTTCCGCATTTATCATATCCATGCACAAATTAGCAGGTCTCAAGTCAGCTAAACTAGCCTTAAGAAAGGAGAATCACTTTATTATTTTAAACATAATAATAATGGGAGAAAATTCACTCCCATTTGTCAATTAAAAGCTTTTTATTAACTGCTTACATATGTAAGCAGCCTTAACTGCATGGTAAATAAAAATGTCCTCCCTAGCTCTCACCTGCTTACTAACAGGCCTCACAGCCAAAAGTTTAAATATTGAAGATGAATGTATTTCATAATTTACTGAAATCACTACATAAATGTGAAGTGAGCATGGTTATTCATCTGAAGCGCCTTTCAGGCTGAAGGATCTATTGCACCAGCCATTCTAGGTTCAGATTGTAAGCAGATTCTTCACTGGGTTTTAGTAACACTGACCTTTTGCAAGAAGTACAACCCATGAAAGTAAAAAAAAAATCCCATACTGTACTGTAAATCTCTATTAATCCTAAATATGAATTCCTTTATTTGCAAGCAGCCATGACTCATGGTTGCTCTCTCCACAGTAGAAATACATAATGTACCAACAGATACTTCTACTCTTACTTGCCTTGATGGAAGAACTCCTCTGTTACTTTTTCACTCCACTGCTTACTCAGCTCCCACGTCCGACACGGATTACAAATATCAGCGCACTTCAAAGCCATCTAGTAAGTTAACATACAGCATTAGATTACCTATCCCTCCAACAGAAGCATCTGTAATTATTTATTTCCCGACAGCAGATTATTTAAAGTTTTGTGACTAACAAACCTACCTACCATTTGTGCTTCTCTAAAGTTATGTTCTATAATCATATTTAAAAAACGCTCAGGGAACTATCAGATCTCATGATCATCTCTGAGTAATATGGAAATTCAGTCAAGTCAAAGTATATTTCAGGGGCACTATATTTAGTACATTCACTAGTACAGGAGACAACAATAAATTCAGAAAAAGAAACATCAAAGCAAGCAAACTATTTTCCATTGCTGCCTCTGAAGTACACATTTTTGAAAACGGTTTGCACAGGACTGAACTTGCCTATTTGTCTACTTTCTTTTGTAGTCCACAATATGAACCCAATAATAAAAATTTCTATAAACCTTAAAGAGACTCTCAAAGCTTTTGTTTTTAAAGCTTGCTAAACCTCTCTCTAGCACAGCTGCAAACTGACTCACAACAGTGCTTTCCTTTCCTGAAATAGGTTCTGACAAAGCATTTCACAGTTCCAAGACCACACTGGAGTCATCAGAAGCACTAAACCTTGTCTTGGAAACACAACTCTCCTTGGTCGAGCAGCCCTAAGTTATCAGACTTACCAACACATAACACCGCCTGGGAGAAGTGCTGGGAGCATGGGGAGATTGAAGTGGAGGGAACAACCTTCTTGTAATGAAACAAAATGACTAAAAGATATTTCTACTTCATTTTGAAAGGAAGAGACAGCTTGGGAGTAGTGTTTAGCATTTTAAGTAAATTATTTTTGACACTAAGTGATGTTTACAAAAATATTACTACAAAGATCACCTGTAAAATGAAGTGACGATGGTTCGCATTCTCTAAACATAGGTCTCCTCTATCCAAATGGGATCGAAACATGGACAGATACTCATTTTGCTGACTGATATCTGTGGCAAGAATGAGATCACCTATCTGGCTTTCCATCAGCTGCCTGAAATTAGCGATACCAAACATTCAAAAAACAATTAAGAACAACAGCCATCACTAAATTGATATGCTTTTTTATCATCATATTCATTATTATACAAATCCAAGCCACAAGCATTTTCACTGAACCGTTTCTTTCTTTTGTTTTCCCTCTCTCAAAAATTCCTACAACATCCATAGAAGTATAAGGATGTTTCATTGGCAGCTTTCGGGACGCCTGAAACAGTTTTTAGCTCTCCTCCACCCTCCCTTTTTATTTTTCCTTAAAAATGCACCAACTAATTGTTTAAAGCTTTTTTCTTGCTAAAATAGGTGAAGAGGGTCTATTTTAAACTACAGTTGTGCTTGCAGAATGAGAAAAGGCTGCCAAGTTTAATCTGAACAGGTGCTTGACTATATGAATACACTTCTTCAGTGGGCTCGCAGTACATGTTATTTCCAAATATCACATTGCACCATGAATTGCTCTATTCCAAAGCACGGTATCCGGGAATTCTTAAAAATAGATCATAATCTATGTTTTGTATTCAGAACTACCATGCAATAATGTAGCTTGTTTTGCAAGGCTGTCTTTCTTCAGTGGCAGCTTGCTTACATCTTAAATTAATCTATACTAGTTTGTATAAATGTACCTGTTTTCTAATGACATATGTGCAAATAAACCAGACTCTCTCAGCAACCCCACTGCTGATCTCCAGTGATGGTTCTCCAATACTGAGGTATTCTGCAAATGAAAAGGGTATTACAGGTTTCAGTGACTTCTTCTGAAATTGAAGAGCTATAGACTAAGAGAGGTACCACAGGGAGTTTTTTTGGGTTTTAGAGGTGGTGGTTTTCTTTCTTTTCTTTTCTTTTTAAATTATTTTTAATGGAGATTAAAATTCACAAATCCTTTGCTGGCTTGCACATTTTTTTCATCCCAGTGGCATGGAAACAATGTCTGGATTGAGCCCTACCACTAGCTAAACACATCACAATTTAGATTCCTTTTCTGTACTCCTCAGACATTCAACAAACCTGGTATTAACAAAACAACCGATCTTGTCCTTACCTTATATAAAGTTGCTAAGTAATGGTTTGTTTTAATTAGGAAAGGTTGGTTAACACCTGGGTGATCCAAATCATGTGTGGCAGCTGCTATTAAACTGAGAAGAACATCCCATGGAGTTAAAGATTTGGAAAGCTGTAAGATAACAAATGTAATTGTTAACAATGCAAGAGCGCCTTCAGAAAAAGGGTATGGGTGTCACATTTTTGCTTCTTTTTTAGTAATTAACAGCCAGTAGGAACACCAAAAAAAACTTCAATAATGTAAAACTAATATTCCACTGACTTTTCACAGTCTTTCTCCCCCAAAAGCTATAAAATTTCAACAATGGTTTAAAGCATTATTCTTTCTGAAGGAGAAAGTTCAGTCTTAAAAAATACTGGCATACAAAATGCTACTTTCTGGCTGGTAATGAAGTACTATTTCTAACTAGATCCTGTAAAAGCAGCAAATTCTTAAAATTAGCTCTCCATCTCATTTACCAAGTCTGTCTGTATGTGTCAATTCTGCTTTAAATACAGAGTATATTCTGAAAAAAAAAAAAAACAAACCACCCAAACTTTTTCATCTTAGAAGAAAGAAACCAATGTTCTGGAAGACTTTAGAAATCCATTCTGAACAGTTCTAACTCTTACACAAAAATTATTTCAAAAAGTCTACCAGGAAAAGAACCAGAGGAGAATCTGCCCAAAATAAATATTTTCAAGAAGTATGCACATGTCAACTCAGCATGAAAATGCACGGACTTATTTTCACTGCTCATAGCTGTTACTAATTCTGGTTGGGAGGTTTATGAGTTAAACTCAGTAATAAAGTCTAGCTTGCACTAAAACAGAGAGAACAGTTCTGTCTGCACAGAAGTGAAATGCAGCAAACACCCTGTGAGGACAGAAGTTTATATTCCCTGTTGCATTAGCCATCTATCATGCCTCACATGTTTATAATGTACTTTGGTGCAATAGAACCAGTAGCTGTATATGTTACTAAAAATACAACGCCTATACTTGTATCTGAAGCATTACAAAACTTCCATCACGAGTATTAAATAAAAAAATGCTCAGAGCTTCCAAGCTGCATGCCATAAAAAAAAGCTCATCATGCATCAGCTCTGATTTGGCTCACTGCACCAACAACTGATCTGAGAGCAGCACTGAGAAACTGAGTGGGAAGAGTGGGCAAAGAGCCTCTGGAAAACATCCATGGAGCCAGAACTTATCAGTTTTTACCTCAGAAGCAGAATAAAGAGCTATGCTGTTCAAGGAAATACCAGATCGGTGATAATCTGCATCAAGGTAGGTAACATGTCTCACCTGGCTAGAAAGCACTACAGTTTTCAATTTAATACATAAGGACAGGATTTAGTCCTAAAAATGTCTGAGACATCACTCACAGCAGATTGACAGCAGTCCACATAGTAAGAAACACTCAACTCACTCAGCTCTTTAAGCTCTGTCACACTGGGCTTTTTTAGAAAGAAAGGCCAAAGAGAACTCCTGATGTCTTGCTTTAAGGTGCCTCTAGCAGTGACATGAACATTTCATAAACATAAGATGAGCAAAGCAAGGGTAATGGTAGTTTCTGGAAGGAAAAAAAACCCCACCCCAACCCCAAATGACAAATACACAGGTTTATTATTGCTAGCTCTGAGTCAGGCTGCGATTCTATGTAAATGTCTTAGGGCACTGTGCTATGTTAAACATCTGCAATCTTAATCAATTCCCTATTCTGGTTCAACACACAATCACACAGAAGACAATGCCAGCTCAGAAGAGGGGAAAAAAGAAAAGCCTACTGCTAAGTGTGAACCCATAGTCTCAGCAACATGGAGAGTAATGCCCTGCCTTTTTGTGTTCAAAGTCTTTTTGTTGGGTTTTTAGGTTTGTTTGCTTTTAATAAAAAGTATGTACATATACACATATATGTATGTATGTGCACACAATCTATTTATATGCACACACACAAATACATGTATTTCTGTATGTACATATGATGTGAAAGTGAGAACAATCCCTTACCTTGGGCTCTTTTAAGTAACAGTGCATGGCCTGAGTCACATCAGCAGCATGAACTGCATTATGATAAGGGTTTTGACTGTGATAATCTTCTTGAACCATAACTGCAGGAAAATAACAAATATCCAAATATAAATAAAATAGCAATTTTTTCAAGTCCCATTTTATATATCCTTGTTAGGCACAGAAATATGCAATATCACAAGTTACACACACATAAAAGTGTCAAAGTCAATAAATCGTCAGCTGAACCACGACGCAGATATAAAAGATTTTTTATGTGAAGAAACAGTATTTTCTAAAGGAAATCAACTACATATAAAGTCATCTCAGAGCAAAAATTAAACAACTTGAAATCGATATATAATCTGAGATCCTCTGACTTTGAGAACTTCCCAGGAAAGGCTCCCTTTGATAATCTAGCCTGCCTGAATGTTGCAGCAACCTGTAATACAAAATGAAGATACTATTTACCAAAGCATCAGGATGACTTCCTATCATGCCTTGAAAACAGACAGGATCAGAGGAATTAGGCACTGTTTTCCTGTCATATGAAATGTTTTTCTTTCCCCTTCAAAAGAGTGGTCATGGAAAGCCAAAGCCACCTCTACGCAGTTTAGGCATCTTCTCATACTTGTACTCAGACAAAATTAAGCCTATATGCAATTTAGAAAAGAATCTCAATTCGACGATGACTGACTAATCACTCCTAGATTTAATATTCCCTATTTAATTTCTTCCTCACTTTCCCCCATCTTCCTGGCTATCTTTAAACATTATAGGTAAACTAAAGGACATAAACATTAGCTTGAGTACACAGAGTCAAAGAACTAAAGTGTTAAAAAGCATGGAGGGGGAGAATATCTGAAGCACAGCAATCAAACTACATTCTGAAGTTTTGCCTGATATGACACATTAGCTCTTTTAAGCTCAAAAGAACATTTTCCTAGCTAACTAATCTGTCAGTCCCATCCAAACAAGCATGCCCATAACCTCTTCTACTCAGGTTACAAACCAGTACCCTCCATGTAATTGTGACTGTAACGTTAGAGTATTACTGCTACGGTATTTGTAAAAAGCTGTAGTTCATGAAAAGTCAAATATGGTAACCATTGTGTAATCTCAATAGTACTCAATGCACAGCTGACACCTCATACAGAAAATAACAAAAATAAGCATCTTCAGGCTAGATCTAACTTGCAGGAGAACTTCCTTTCATCTACTCCTCTCATCCAGTGCATGAATGAGGATGTCCTTGGCTTACTCCTCAATTTTTTGTGGCTTTACAGACTGGCCCAGCTACCTGAAGTCTATAATTTTCTTAACTTATTTTAATAAAGCAGACCCAGGACAATATTTTGATCGTGGTTTGCCAGAACTAGAACGGCACAACCACCCTATGTTTCCAGGAACGTACTACTCGTATTTTCTCTCCCCCTGTTCAGGTCTGGAATAAGAAATTGAAAACACACAGTAGGAGGAGATAGATCTTCAAGGAACCTTTGGAAATCACAGAAATACTGTGTATGTGTATAAACAAACATATATATATATATATATACACACACACACACACACACACACACACATATGATGTGACACATATATATATACACACACACACACACACACAAATAAAATGTTGAGATCCTACTGAGGACTAAAATCAGATTTATCTCCTTAAGATTCCAGTAAATTCTCAGATTAAGTGAATTTGTGTGGCACTGTGGACCACTTGAGCTGTCCTAGTCTCCTGGAATTTGATCTTCAGATTTTTTTTGGACTAGGGTATAAGAGGTAGAAAAAGAAAAGAATGAACTGGGTTCATGCTACAAAGCTGTATGTGGAAGAAAGGTTTCTTGATTGGACAGATGGGCTAGGCCAGAGCTAAGAAGTGTTTTTCTTACTGCTATTAAGTAGAAGGCATTAATAAGAGGGGAAAGGTGGTTAATTTCAAAGCTAGAATAAAATTTTGTCTTCTTCCAAGTCTAATTTCATTTTTGACTTAACTTACAGCATTGATAGTTAAGACTATTGTTATCTTTTGACAACCAGTTAACTAATCCAGTCATTCCTACCTGGCCTTTCATTTCAAGTACTGTCATTTGCTAAATCTCAATGAACCAGGAAATAAGCAAGATGAGAAAGACAAAACACGCTCAGTTACAAATTGAATAGCCTAAAACCAGAGTTTTACATTTGTTTTCTTTCCATTTCAATTTATCAGTCCTCAAGGTCAGCTGATCTACCTTTCTGAAAATGGAAGGACTTGAATCCACTCTAGAACAACATGAAATGCAAGACAGAACTGGAATTTTTTAAAGCTGAAAGAGAACTAAATGATGAAGACAACAACCTTCCCTTATTTGAAAGGGGAGAAAAGCCTTCCAAGTGTGATTTCTCCCCTGTTAGATGACAAGCCTTGTAACCACAAAACTGATTTCTGTGAAACTGTGAAAGCCTGCTAAAAGGGGCCAGAAACTTGTTTCTCCTCAGTTAAAAAAAAAGCATCCCACTCCACAAAATTAAATAAAAGGTACTGTCATAGAACTACTGAGGGAAGCCTCACACCAGCATCGGTGTCTATGGGGATGCAGAAAGACAGCTCCTTCAGCTGTCAAGTGTAAGTACCACTTTGTTCAAATATTCTACATCGTATTTACAGTTCTTTCCATTGAAGCATTCCAGCACCACAGGCCCAAACATTCAAGTAAAATTGTCTTGCGCTCTGTCTATGAGAAATTATGCCCACAGTACAGCGCTTATCTGTAGGAGAGTGAGCCAGCAAGAGAGAGCATCAAACTGGCACCATTAAATATGGCCAAGCTGGCATGTTCAATACAACTAGGAAACTGTATCATGAACTTCAAAAATTAAGATTAATACAAAATTGAAAATCAAAACAAAGAAAAAAGCTGTCCAGTCTTTCCCAATAAAAATGTCACACCATGTCACACATATTCCTGATTATTTAGATTTAATAAATACAATACAACATCTGCTACAAACTACTAACCTTGTTAATACTTGTTTGGATTTAACATGGAGATTTCTATACTCATAGAAACTTTGACAGATTGTCCCAATCAATACAATTTAAATCACTGCACAATCTGAACTGCATCAGTACTCTTCAAACCTTATTGCTAAACTATAACCAGCACTTCAGTTAAGATATAAAAATGCGGATAAACAGCAATATTCATCATAATAAAAAGCTGTATTTACCCAAAAATCTACGAAGTTTCATCGTATCTAACTGGAAGTGTTCAATTAGTCCATGAAGATTAAACAGATGAAAGGTTAAGCTGACTAGACTGTTTCCTAAAAATAAGATGAAAATACTAATTCATTGGAAGCCATGAAATCAGTGACTCTTTCATAAGAAATGTATTACTTCAAACAAATTGGTCACAAAAATTATACAAGCAAATTTCTCTACACCGATTTATGATAAATATTTAAATCTTACTGCATGACAAGATTCCATTAGCTATCTCCTCTAGTAATCACCCATGGTTTTGCATAATTATAACGAATTCACCAATTGTCCACTGTCAACTGACAGAATGAGAATGTTACTGAACATCAAAAAAGCAATAGGTTTCGATGTGCAAACCTGTTACAACAGTATTCAACTTTATAAATACCATGATGGAACATATCACAGACATACAGCTTAAAACCAAACACAAATATAATCAGGTGAAGAAAAAACTATCTATTAGCATACATTGCATATATGCTATTTCTCATTTTCATCATGTATTTTGCTAAACTACTCTTTATTGCACCTGGAACTCAGGAAGCTTTAAATTTCTCTAGGAAATGTATTCCATTACAAGCTTGCAATATACTTCATCTACTCACAGCTATAATATTACAATCACTTGGAGTGGTAAAACAGGTAAAACTATAAGAGATAAGAAAAATAGCCTGCAAATGTTTACTTGCAATAGCTTGCCTGTCATTTACTCTGCAAACAACATGTAGCAGCAGATAACTCAGTTTTGGTACGTTGACTCTGACAATCTTCATTTAGCAGGAATTAAAGAACCCAGTATAGACAGAAACTGAGGTACAAAAGGACAAAAACTTCTGCTAAATCTGGCTTGTTGCTAGGCTTAATGTATTCACGTGTGAATGCCACTTCCTCACAAGATACACAATTCTTCAGACAATATTTACTAACTTTTGTCTTACAGGTTCATCCAGGCTAGCTCACCAAGCAGTTTTATATACACAGTGTTCTCCCCTTATGAACTTTCAAGAACAAGACTACATGTTTAAAACATCTCCCTAAAATGACTAAGTTAGGATGCAAAATGGATGGTATAAGAAGGCTTCCACAGTAGAAGCTGTACTAGTAGTATCTAAACTGTATTTGAAAAAGCATATTTAAAAGGTAGAGAAGGCCTCTTAGAAGAAGGATGACTTCAGATTACTCCCATCTAATAAACTAATCCAAAGCAAACTATGCTTACAAACAAGTTAACTTGCACATATAGCTTTTTCTTGTTGTTATCTAAAGTTTATCATTATCTATATAAACATTCCATTTTTTAAGATCCTCGCTGTTTTCATCTTCTGTATTAAATCAAATTGTGAGGATATTACTTTTATACCAGATTAAGACAAGCATCCCTTCAACAAAACAGGAGAGAAAATCATCTTTTGGTACCTCATTTCCTTTTCTGAATTTCACTTCTCTTTCTGCCAACTTTAAACACTCTGACTGCATCTCTGCCACCAAGTCCATTTGACTGATGTAAAACCCACAAGAGCTGCACTCTGTTCTCTTCTCACACCAGCACAAATGTCACCATGATACTGGACTCACTCATCTTCTTTCATTCTATTCAAAATTCAGCTTCCATTCTTGCAATTATAATACAAAACTTCATCCTACCCACTGCAGCAGCCCTCCCTCCTTTCCAGCACATTTACAGATCTCTTTTCTGTCTATCTATAACTTTAACACCACTTTATTTTTTTTAAACCAACTACTTCTGTAGTTCCTACTGCTATTTGCAATGTGTGCACAAGACTAACCATAGTATTCTCTTCCTTTTTGTCTTTTGTGCAAATTTCTGTCTGCTTCATTCCTCTTTCTCTAGGTCATAATTATGTCATAATTATAATGCATTCATATCAACATGCCTTCTTATTGTATTGTAAAGTAATAGAACTGTTCTATCTAACATTGAATTTATCAGAAAAATAATTGTTTGATATAAATGACCTTCTGGACATAACCATATAAATTACCATCACTCTGTAATTAAAAAAAAAAAAAAGATTAAGTTAGAAAAATTATTTGTTAATTTATATCAATTTACTACTTAAAATTACTGAGAGAACCACAACCTACAAAGTACAAGGACCCCTTCTACAAAGTATCAACAGTAACAGTATTTTAACAGTGACCAGGCAAACTATGATTTAAACACTATTAAATGAAAAACTACTACTTAATGAAATTTGTGCTTTTCCAGTGAACAAGCAATCAGATACCACAAGAGCAATAGTTATGCTAAGAGATAAAACACAAATGAAATAGCAAAAATAAACTCACCATTTGTCAGTCTATCAAAAAGAAAAATATCAAAATTCCAATTTCCAACCTTCTCCAGCATACACTGAAAGAAAACACAAAAGCTGTCATTTTTTTTTTCCTCAGTATATGCCTATCTTCCCATAGCCCAGGCAAGTCTTCAAGATTTCAGAGACAGATGCAAGTCTTAGGATTTCTACATACAAAAAACAGTATTAAAAGAATAATTAAATTTGCTGATAACAGAAAAACTTTAAAATACATGTCACAAATTAAAAAACTGAAAAAAATGAGAAGTGCCTTGACAGAACTGGTTGGAGATTTTCCCTTCATCCTTTAGTCAATTTCTTACAAGAAATAATACACAGTTTAAAACAATTCAGTTAAAACCAGAAACAGTATGACAGAACAGCTCTGTATTCAGACTTCTTCCACTTTAATTTTTGCAGGTAGCTAGTAAATTAATCTTTGTCCTTGACCTTGTTTTCTCTCTTCCCCTTGTTGTCTACAGAAGAAAAATAATATCTAGACGCTTCAGTAGACATACAAGCCAAGCTTTTAATTTCTTTCTTAATAAACTGGCTTTTGACTTTGCACCTTACTGAACTAGCACTTCTTCACAGCTGCTCCACATGAACTGTTCTTCCAGCAACAGGGATGAACAAGAACACCAAACAGCACTTGAGGCCTCACCAGAATTCGGCAGTCACAATCTTTGCCTCCTGTACCTCCATGAGAAATACCTGTCCAGAACATTGTACAACAGCTATTCTCATTAGATTAGTAGGGCTGTTTTGTGATCCAATTATATGTTCTAGCTTTTCTCTACCAGCCACTAAAACTCCACTACCAGAAGAAACAAGACCATTAACAAGATCTTTTTAAATTACATGTACATTCTTAAAATCCATCCTCCAGGTTATCAGATTCTTCCTAAACTGCAGCCTGATTGTGTTCAGGATGGATACATTCACTGTATAATAAGTATGTTCCTTTCCTGAGTCAAGATTAGAAAAAGCACTACATGCAGTCAGTAAGATGACACAGCCTTTGGGGTCTTGAATACCCTGAATAACGTTTGCCTGCTCAATTCCCTTCAGCACTATCCATTCTCTGTCCACAGCACACTGCCTTTCACCCAAATAGCTGTTCTCTTCATACTGCTGCCCATCTTCCCCAGACCCGCTTTCCCTGCTTTACTGCAGCACAGGCATATTATAGACATCACCCTTTTCTAGAAGAATTGCCCACCAAAGAAAAAGTCAGTTTGGCATAATAATTTTCTGATAAATCAATATACTGCGTATTACTGAGTTTTCAATAATAGACAGTCACTCTTTCAGATGTTCATTAATGAGGTCAGACTAAAAATGAGAAGGGGAGGGGGATACTTGTCCAAACCGCTCCATTACATTTCTTAAATATGAATATATTTTCCTTTCTTCACTTTTTCTTCAAGGATTGAAGTGCATCCTCCATTCACCAGAGTTATTTAAAAACACCCAAAACACTAGCCACATAAGCTCTAAAAATCATCCCAGTAAACCTGTGGGTGGTAAGGAGCTTGTTAGAAACCATGTCATTTTGTCTGGACTTATATTAAGATAGATATATAGATATATACACGCACACACACACACACACACGTGCACAAAAAAAAATACACTCATAAAAAATTACATGCTTAAAATCTGTACTTGGTTGCACTTTTAACATCAGATACAGTTACATAATAACAAACATTTTAAAAAACATACTAAAAAAAATAAAAATCAAGCAACCAACCTTTGCTTGTCCATTATAATCATCATCTAAAATGTTTGAAGAATTTGGAACAGTGATACCACGGAAAAAACGGGAAGATCTCAGGTATCGCTGGAAACTAAGCAACCTTCTCACATTTCTCGCAGACACAGACACCTCGATTTCAGAATTTGCTACAAAAAACAAGAAAATAAATACTCTCTCTAAAAAACCTTTACCAAAAAGAAGACTGTTCAGGGAAGTTTGGTAGAACAAAGGTGACGCAATTTCTTTGTGTACCGAATGTTTCAGCTACAAATACAGATATTTTTATTAATAGTAAGTGCAGAGCTATGTCTTAGAACAGAAAGTTTTCTATGTACATATCCTGTGAAGAAAAACAAATATTTACATCCCAGATGAAACATCTTTTAAGGAACACTTATTGAAAAACAGAAATATTACGGGATTTGTGTAAAAACACACAAATTACTGCAAACAGCTTCTTTTTTTGAAAACTGCTGTCATGTATACACATTCAATCCATGTCCCTAGCAAATCACAGAAGATATGTATACCAGCAAGAGAATATCAGTAATTGTGTGTTGATACAGGAGTTACAAGTAGGTTTTGAGCACATACAAATAACTTTTATATGGATTTTAAAGCTCAGAACTTCTCTTTACCGGTAAAGTTTTAAACACACTCAAGCAATTTTGGTGCTTTTGCAGATTATTATGCTCAGAACCTCTCCTCTGCCAAGCCAGTACGACATCTACTTTCATGGCATATGTAATTCCCTTTCCCAGTACAGAGAAAACACTACTGAAAATTGTTTTACCCTGTTTCCAAATATTAATACAAATATTTTTCTTTACTCTTACTAAGTTAACAGGTTTATTCAAATGACTGATGTTAGTTTATGTTCAATTCTATTTGGTATGCTTGAGGTGTTTTAGAAACCTGAAGATCAAATTATGCATAGCTACAGTTTCTTTGCAACAGGCCAAATACTTTAATTCTGAAATACATAAGGCCAAAGTTACCCTTTACTTTCTTTTCAGCAGTACCCCTAACAGCAGTTGTATATAACCAGTCAATAATCTGGACAGTCCTTCATTGTGCCTGAAATGACTTATGTTAAAAAAAAAAAAAAAAAAAAAAAGGTATTAAGAAAGAAAGTCAATGAAAACATGCTCTTTTCCAAAAATGCAGATGCTCAAAATCAACGCAAACTCAATTCTGTGGCATAAACCTCTTGACCTTCCAAGAATAAGGCGTATTACAAATTGGCAAAGGAAGCAGTTAGAATTTTTGTTCTTAAAGTCAGTGTTGAAATATTTTACAGGGGAAGGTGTGGCCTTATTAAAAACCTCAATGATTTCTAGTGAAAACAGTTTAATTCTACATAAGATAAATTCTTATCCATATAAATTCTTCTCCCTGCAGAAGTCCCAATGTACTTTCTGGTCTACATTAGCTCATTAATATATTAATTTCCAATCCACACTAATAAAACACCTCTGAACAGAACTGACAATTGAATGAACATATAGTATCTAATCAAACGCAGCGGTGCTGCACATCAACAGTCTGAACTAACAGAGATTAAATTGACAAAAACTGGAATATTCTTTCAGGCATGCCTGAAACACTTCATCAATATACTGAAGTTCCTATCAGTTTCAAAGGGCTCACACAGACAATTTCACAGGAAATATCTTTCTTCAAGTCATCACACTTAAGGCCAAGGGCACTTCCTCAGAAGATGTGCGTGTGTGTGTGTGTGTGTGTGTATATAAGTTATGCAAGGAGGTGTACTATGTATGATAAAGGTTGCTTACAAAGCAACATTCACACATACAGCAGGCAAATAAACAGATTCTGTCATGCTGCATTACTCTACCAATATTTCTGATTGCATTCATTAACATGAGGCTACAGTCTGAGCACTGCCAGTCTGCAGATCAGAGAAGCAGGGAGCAATACAGCTGTTTCTCTTAACAGAGTGTAGGCTTCAGGTAAGAAGTTTTTCCCCCTCAATCTTGAGCCAGTCCCTTAAAATCTGAATTTCAGAACAGAAGCCATTAGGTTTGAAATAAAATAATATGAAATAGGTATCTTTAGGTCATAAAATGATCTAAAATGTCCACAAAGTCACATACAAAATCCAGGAACTTCACTGATTGTCAATAAAATGAAATATTTAATTAGGAGAAATCATCACTCTTCTGGAAGTACAGATAACTTTCTTGATAATAAGCACTCTTTTATAGATCTATAGCTAACAAAACTCTACTTTTGTTGTCATGCCACCCGTTAATCTTTGGCAGAACAGTATGATGTACGGCAATACAAGTAGAACAACAGGTTTTGTCAGCAAATCACCCAACAAAATACAGAAAGGAAGTAATTTGGCACTATAGACCTGTGTTTAACCTATATTTGTATCTGTAAGTCACTTGGGGGGGATGCCTATGGTTTTGCTTCAGTACTTTTTCTGATGATGATGTGGGCACAAAGGTAAATGAATTACTCAGTTTTCTGTGAAACTGAGCAGTCATTCCTCTCTACTTTGCAATATACTATTGAGACATTAATCTTAAAAATATTTTTAAATTCTCTAAATTATCATCAGTTTGTATGGCTCATAAGCCACTACTCTTACGCATTAATCCCACATTTTCTCCCCCTCAGTTAAAAAGAAAAAAAAAAAGAAAGAAGAAAAAAAGCAGCTCTAGCTGCTATAATTCAAACAAGCAACAAAGCCTACTTCATTCCAGCTTCCCTGGCAGCAATGCTGCTATTACAAAATCACAGAACAGCTGAGGTCAGAAAAGGACTCTGGAGGTCATCTGGCTAAGCTCCTCTGCTCAAGCAGGGCCACCTAGACCACATTACCCAGGACAGTGTCCATATGGCTTCTGAGTATCTCCGAGGATGGAGACTCCACAACCTCCCTGGGCAACCTGTGCCAGTGATCAGTCACCCTCACAGTGAAAACGCATTTCCTGATGTTGAAGGAACCTCTGTGTTTCACTGTGTGCCCACTGCCTCTGGTCCTGGCACTGGGCAGGCACCTCAGTAGTGCTCAGTAGAGGGGTAGGATCACCTCCCTCGACCTGCTGGCAATGCCTTTCCTAATGCAGCCCTGGATACCAATAGCCGCCTTTGCTGCAAGGGCATGTTTCTGACTCATACTGAACTTCATGTCCACCAGGACCCTCAGGTCCTTCTCTGCCAAGATGCTTTCCAGCTGTTCAGCCCCCTGCCTGTGCTGGTGCCTGGGGGTGTTCCTCTCCAGCAGCAGGGCTTTGCACTTCCCTCTGAACTACTATTTATTCCACATGTGTAGCCCAAGCTAGGTCATAACAGCTTGACCAAATGTTTTATTTAGATTTGCAATGACCAGAATAACTTGCAAAAGAGAAGATATTTCAAGCCCTATCAGACCTCTGCAGTTCAAGAACACCTAATTCAGGAGACTACACCAACCCAAAAATTGCTCTCTCTTTATCAGCCAAACATTTGCTATGGGACAATTCAGAAAAGGTGAGTCAGATGTGGAGGTTTGACAGGTAATTAATTTAAAAGGGAGGCTGAAAAAGAAAATAGCTAGCTTTCAAGGAAGGAGAAAGGAAGAAAAAGAAAAGGGGAAAAAAGATAGGTTCTTCAGCTGCAGAAGCACTGATAGCTCCCATGCTTGCAGTTTCCTTTCCCTCACAGATAAATTATTAGGAAGGATACAAAAATCAACTGTTCTGTGGTTCTGGCGAACCAGCAAAGACAAGTTCAGAGGAAGGACTGGTAAACTGAATGATACAGTTGTGCAATAGAAACTTGGTATTTCCCTCCTGGCAGAAGCAGAAAACTCATTCCCTTTATATGTATGATTAATAACAGAATGTCAGCCTACCCTCTTCTACATGAGTCACAAAACGAGATGCTAATTGCAGAGACCCTTCCAAAGCAAGGTTCAATAATGTATTTATTACGGAAAGAAGAAGGTGAAGAGTGAAGAGAGCCTTACATTTGCTCAAGAAAAAGCATGCTGCAAAAACATCCCTCCTCTCAGCCCAAACGTCCTTCATTTCATTTGGAGTTTTCAGTGTGCTAAATGCTCTCTCACATCCAATAGTGACCATTTGCTCTTAAGAGATAAGGACAAAATAGAATGAAGAAATAAATGAAAGTAGGACATTTACAGTCTTGAGAGCCAAAACACAACAAAAGCAGCAAAATTAGGATGTAGGGACTGTCAAGAAGGAAGCTACAGCATTCGGAAGTGCCTTTGATGCAAGGAACCAGACAACTGAAACTACAGGCCTCTATTCCTAGTCAACAGTAGCTTTCCTATGAAATTCTTCTTCCCTTCATAACTCTCCATGCCCTACTTAAAGGTAGAATATCACACAAAGTATTTATTACTTACAAGGTATTTTTTTATTAAAATGATTATATTCTTGTTTCTAAGCCTCTTAAGTGAGATGCTGGTATAATTAAAAAATGCCTTTCTAAATTTTAAAAAAAAGGAATAATTCCATTTACTAACATCAGTTATTATGCTAGTGTTATGCATATACAGCAAAAAAAATAAAATTATGCAAGTTGTCTTCATGCAAAAAAATTTCCTCTAGATTCCAAGACACTTATTTTAATCCCTTCCCACTCCCCATCTTTTAAGTGTTGTCCTTCATGACAAGCTAAAAAATTAATTTTATCACATTTCACAGGATTATTAAATATTTATTTTTCTCACGCTTAAATAAAAACACAAAATATGTAGAGAAAAGACAAGTGACAATAACTCACAAAATCATAATATACCGATATACTTTTTCTCATCTATCATATAGTAAGAACAGACAACAAAAGGAAGAATGACAACTTAATTGTAGTTTGGTTTAATTTTTTGTTAATAAAACCCTTAAATCCTAGCAAAATGCTTCTCCTTTCTTTTCATGCAAAGATAAAGACTCACAGCCTCTGATGGGTCCTGGTTGAAACAAGGCAATCCAGTGTAAGAACTATACATCCATTTCTTCCCTGCTACAGCCCAAAAGGTAAATAAGAAATTATCCATGATAAAAATAATTGAATTTTGCTATTACCAATAGAAAACACTTAACTGAGGATCTTGGGTATCACTGCCACCAACAGAAAAAGTAATCAAAAAATATTTGAGGACGGATGA